CACAAAGGATTATAAAGTTGATCTCCAAACCTGTATGAAGGCAGGCCTATGGTTATGAATTCCCAGGGAAGACCTTTATTTTTCATCCAGAGCTCAAGAGAAAACAGACACGCTTCTTATTCTGATGGGCAGATTATTCTTGTCCTCCCTTTCACTGTTGGTGTAGCTCTCTGGGGTTCCAGATTTACAAAGAGGGGACAGTCTCAATTCCATTTCTCTAGCTCATGAAGTCCTAGGTCTGCATCTTCTGTTTCTGTGTGACCATTAATTCCCGAGAACCTTGGTTACTGTGACAGGCAAGCCCTATCCCTGAGAGTGATGATAGAAAACAGTTAACTGTCTTTTAGCTACCTGTTCATTATGGCCTCTGAGCACTTCCCTTATATTATTTTGAACTCAGTCATTTAGAAGCAAGTCTGTTTAGCAATTCTAGGTGCTTCGTTGCAGGATGGATATTAAGTCATCTAGTCCAGAATGGAAGTCTACACTGATTTTTAAATGGGTAACCACATAATTTTATCACAGAAAAAAAAAATCAGTGTCAACCTAGTCACTTTTAGAATGCTGAAGGTGCTGGGAATTTTTGTTGTTATTTAAGGAATTGTTATCTATAAATAGATCGAACTACTGATCCCTGTATCTCACTTCCCTGTAATTGTATTATTTGCCATGGCTTTAGGAAGAGCAGAGTGTACTTTCCCACTCCTTGACTTTGGGCTTGACAATGTAACTTGCTTTGGCCAATGATATGTTAATGGAAATAACACAGAGGCTTGAAATGTGCCTGAGTGGTTAGCCTTTTCTTTTTGTGTTTCCGCTACTGCCATGCAAACATGACCTGGGTAGCCTCCTGGTCACAAAAACAAGACATGTGAAGCAGAATACAGACTTCGAAGTTCAGTCCAAGCTGAGTTCAGCCTAGGAACCCCAAATGACATGCAGGTGCATAACAAAGAAATAAATGCATGTTGCTGTAAATCACACAGTTTTGGGTAGTTTTTAATGCATATTACTGTGAAAACACTTAACTGATATAACTGCTTTATCAGTAGTTCTTAGGCCCCTTCCCTAAAATGGAGAATTTGAAAGGTATTGTTCTAATAAAATTCTTGTAACTTGAAATTTTTTGTTCTGTTCCTCAAACACTAGGTTAAATGAGTTATACCGTATTAGTACTTAACAAATTGCCTTGGAATCTGTCAATAACATTCAATACAAAATGGAGTACTAACCTGGTATTTACCTAAGAAGGACAATTCTGTGGTCTCATTGAAAGGAACAGAAGACGATGTCACATGAACATATGGATTTAGTTCTGCAATATGTTGAAGTACAGCTTCAGCCCTAAAAAATAAATAACCTCCACTATTCTTTTGTTCAATATACTCAATCTCCCAAAGTTGGACACTTTAATAACATCAGAGGAACCTCACATGTTATGAAATTTCAATAGAAACTTGAACTGTAGAAGAAACCAAGACTTCTTTATCTTTACAGATAACTATACAATCTGGAGATGCATTATCATATTCCGCAGTATGCCACACAGTCTAACAGTTCCAAGCTTCTTAAGTTTCTTAAAAATTCAGCAATACTAAAGAGCTTCTTTAATAAATTCAAAGAAATTCATTTCTAGGCCCTTGAAAATATGTGAATGTATCAAAAATTTGACAAGTAAAAAGAAATAAGCATGTCCCAATGTATGGTAGTGTTAATTTATGGTGATAAGTTAAACACTGGTGTTCTAAATACAGAAAATATTCTAAGTAATTGAGGGAATAAAATAAAAAATATCATAATACATAAAAATATCTTCACCTGTTTCTTTTATTAACAATATCATCTTCACAAAGAAAGAAGTTGGTTCCTAGATCCCATGCTTGGCATTTTTGTGTATCATGAATTGTAAGTGCCTTCAAAAAAGAGGAAAGTATTGGTTGAAGTCAGGAGTAAGACAAGGATGCTCACTATCTCTGATACTATTTACACTGTATTGGAAATATTGTTCTGTGTAATTAAATGTTGAAAAGTAATTAAAGGCATCATAATTGGAAAGGATATAAAACTAGATCTATATGCAAATGGTATGACTATATACATCTGGAAACCCCACTAAATTGATGAAATATTATTTTAAACATTACGAGAATCAACATACAAAAATCCAGAAAATTTACATAACAAACACTTCAAAATACCCCATGTTCCAAGTAAAAATGATAATTGACAAACTAGGAAAAAAACTTGTAGCTTATATCACAGGCCACAGACCTTATAGAAAAGGGGTAAGATATTATGAACAAGAAGTATAATGAGAAAGAAATGCACATGGCCCTTGAAAATATGTTTTACATATGCTTTACATGTTCTATCTTGCTCAGGACTGAAATATCTTTTCTCACTTGCTAGACTGGCATACATCCAAAAGTCTGACAACATGCTCTATTGATGAGAGTGAGATAAATCAGCCGCTTTCATATATTACTGACGGGAATGCGAAGTGGCTCAACCTCAATGGGAAGGAATCTGACAACTTTAGCAAAAAGACATACGCATTATCCTTTGACACAGCAATTCCACTTTTAGGAATCCATCCCAAAGACATGTTGAGAAAAATACAAGAAGACGTGTGTACAAGGGTATCAAATGCAGTACTATTTATAATAGCAAAAGATGAAACAATCAAAAATATCTACAAATGGGGAACTAGGTATAATATACACATCTACAAAATGTATAACCATGCAATAATTAAAAAAACCAATGAAATCTATATTTATCACTATGAAGTAATCTCTAGGATATGCCATTAAGTGATAAAAAGCAAGGTGAAAAAAAGTATGGCACTTTATCTAGGAAAGGCAGGAAAAGAGAAATAAATACATATACACACACATAAACAGATAGGCAAGTGTGTATGTATTTGCTTATATTTAAAATCAAATGAAGAAAAGAACAAATTTAAAAAGGGGTACCTAATAAGGAGGGAACAGAGTAGTGAGAAGCTAGACTTACCTTAAAATAATTTGTTTTATAAATCTAACTTTAATCATATACATGTCACATAATAGTAAAACTAAATTGAATTAAAAAAAAAAAAAAAAAGGCAGCTGGATGCAGTGGCTCATGCCTGTAATCCCAGCACTTTGGGAGGCCGAGGCAGGAG